ACCGACGCTATTTTATATATATATATTTTTTATGCGATAACGTCAACTCACCAGCCGATGCAGCGCTATAGCCATTTTACCGATCGCATTTTTCTAGATCTGCATCGCGTAACTCGAAATATATCGCGAATTTATTCCAGAGCGTTAACTTTTTTTTTCGCCATCGCTTGAAATCTCTGAGACGTAGATATATATCTGAGAAAAATGAAAAGTAAAAACGCGAGAAAATATGCAACGAGTTTATCTTATTTAAAACAAGATTGCGAACTAGTTGACGATTATTTCTTGCAATTTGAGTCACTTTATTTTATTATAAATAAGTGAAAGTAATTTTAATAAACGACCGAAATGTCTTGTAATTTTATTTGTGTATAGTGATTCATAATCATAAGAAATACTAATTTTCTACTTAGATGTTGCATATGTACAGTATATAAGCTGGATCCGTTATACTTTACCATTTTATTAGTATTATTTATGACGAAATATATATTGAGCATTTCAAAGTATTTTATGTTATGTTTTTGCAATTAGATAAATTGAAATGTACGCTAGAGAGATATTTTATAACCGAATACGTTATAAATCATATTAAATACAAACGTTTATATTTCTCATTAAAATTCTTTTGGTCTTTCCTTAATAATGCAACAACGATCCACATATTAATTGCGTTGAAATACGCGACAATAGTTAGCTGATTCTATTTTCATATTACGTTCGATTATGAGAGAGTTAAAATCTCTGTTTTGACTCGGTAGATGTCCGGTGTGTTCTGTGTGTCGCATGCTGATGAAGGACGATGTGCGGTGATTTTTTCGTGGTATGTACATTTTGCCGTTGCAAATAAATCTCATACGCAATCGGGACGAATCAAGAGAGCAATAGAGAATCGACATAAAGTATTAATGATCGTATTTGTTGCCGTTTAATAATATATCTCGAGATTCGTACTGTCGCTAAACGATGTTCGAGGTTATGCTCGGCGTAACCGGTGCGAAGTTGCCGTTGCGTCCTTCGAGCTTTTCAAATAGACCGCAAAAGTTTCGTAACTGATCTCGGACGTTAAAGTTGCGTCGCGCCTCGCGGTTATTTATTTGTCCGAAATTGTCCGAAATACATTACGCGTTTCATGTAATCGAGTAATTATCATGGAGCATTTATTAATCAGTGTAGCCAGTTGTGTGATGATTGAAATCGTTTCTCGATACAAGTGTTCAAAGTGACGAGCGGTCGTGTTAATTGAGCAACGATTAAATGAACTGATCGTGATTAGCTGTTTTTCCCCGAATGCCGAAGGAATGGAGAACCTGACGAACTGAAAGACGGCGGCGTCGGCGAAAGGATAGAAGAACTGCCGGCCGGTGAGTGCTTTCAATTATAATATTTCTAATCGTTAGTTCATTCTGCGCTTAACGAAATTGCATCATTGCGTTATAGAGGTTATGTTTTGATTATGTATTAAACAATTGAAAAACACAATGTTGCAATTATCCTTTGATTGGCAGTGCAATTAAACATGACGATTTGTATTCTTTAATGCACACATTTATATGAGATTTTAGGATTAAGAAAAACTAATTACAATCGGATTTGATATTGGTAATTGATAGTAAAATGGAAAATAATCGGAATAGCAATTTTATTCTAACGCGACAAGTTAATTAATCAAGGAACAAAGGAACGACGTAAATTGAAAGGTCGATTTTGGATCTACTTTAATTGATTTTCAATTTCTTTATCGTGAATTTAACGATGCAACTTACATATTTTATCACTATTGTCGCTAGCATTCTCATCTTAGGCTTTGTGTGAATATTACGCCACATGTTTCGTGCAAAATGTAATTTTCGGAAAAAGGACAAGTAAATCGTGTGGAAATCCAGTCCCTCACATTTTTATGTTTAACAATATACAGCGCGTGACGATAATGCGACTGTCTTTCACCGGACGAGATTAAAAAATGAATTTGGAAGATCCAAAGAACCAGAATCGAATTCCTGGGTCTTTCGATCGTCTCATCAATCGGTGTATCTCAGGCCCTTGCGAATTTTCGAACTCACTCTCTAAACTCAAGCGTTGAACCGACAGATCAATACACTCTGGTAGATCTAAAATCCTCCAAATTTTTTGAATTATCGGAATCGAAGAAGGTAACCTCCTCCTCTCCTCTCTTACATCTCTGTCAGTTTTTAATTCTAGAATGTCTGGATTTTAGATCTAATACGTAGATTCACACGAAAAATTTTCACTCGCTTATCGATGGCGTCTACATATCATTAGGCTGCGCATGAAAATATGTATATGTGAATGATTGCTTCACGTATGCGCGATGCGAAACTTCGCAATTTGGAGAGCAAAATAATATCGCTCGACTAATCGTAGATTCATGGCAACTTGAATAACTAAATGGTAATCCAGCGTAGAAAGCGATGGTGCGCTGGCTTTTAATCTGATAGATCCGTCTAATTTTTCCAATAAGAAAAATATTTTGTATTTTTATTAATACAAGGAAAATTGCCATTTGTTTCCATTTAAATATAATTTATACATACTCTTCTCAATTATAATGATAATAATTATTACTATTTTTCTTTTCGAGGCTACAAATTAAAATTATTTTGTCACGGATTTAATGATTTGCAATAAACTCAATAATAATATTATCGTGTTTATCACAAAAATGTTGCTTACTCATTACATCTAGATAAAAATATAATTTATAAATGTACACGACAAAAATATACAAATGCTATTCCAACGATATTTACAATTCTGCTCAAACCGCGAAAATATTTTATAAAACAAAACACTTAGAAATGCTGTATAAAGCAATATGACAGTATATACGGTGGCACCGGATCTTGCAGACTTTTTCAAAGTGCAACTTGCAAAACATGAATAATTTATGCAAGTTAATTTTTCATTATATAATAATATTTTAGTATATTCTATTTTACAGAGATACTCTGGACTTTATTCATACTTATTATTTCGCCTACGTATACTAGTTTTGCAAACTAATCACATTTTG